TATTCCAACCCCCCACCCCCCCCCAAAAAAAGATAAAAAACAACAGAGAAAAGAAAATCCCCGCCATGTGGTCGGGAGAAAATGCAACTTTCTACTTTTGGACGTTGGTGCCGTGAACACTAATTGAAGCACCAAATGTTAATGTTAATTAAAGCACCATAATCTCAAATAAACATCGTCCGTATGGAAACCAAAGATCGTACATAACAAGATAGTTCACCCAGCTAAAAAAGTCCGCGGAAGTCCGCTCATTGGTTCAGATGGCTGAGCAGTCTATGTGTTGACGGTCTTTTTCGTTTCTTCAGAAGAAGAATAGGAATAGCACTTCTTGCTGGTTTCGCTTTTATTATTTTTCACATAAATAGGGTAAGTCTGTTCACAAAGTCTGCACCTTTTTGGAGAGGGCGCCATCCAATTTTGGGGACATGACACCTTTTTAATTGGCTAAAGAAGATGGGTGAACTATCTTGTTATACACGACCCTCGATACTCTCAAACACAAACAACTTCGTGTTGCATACTCTCAAACACACATCTTCCGGCCTCCCGTCATGCAACAGTGGATGGAAACACCCCGAGGAGGTAGGTAAACAACATGAAACCAATTTGGAAAAAGAATATTGGGAAGACTACCGTAACGAGCGACCACTATTAAATCTAGATTATACTCAATGGCTTCCAAAATCATGATGGAAGACCGAAAGCCACTGTCATAAGATCTGTTCATGACAAAATTACGGTCGATCGCGCATTTTTAGGCCCAGTGCAAAATTTTGAAGGTCTGATTCAGGGATTAGTAGACTTGAGTCAAGGCACAGCCATTGTTGACCCCGCAGACTTTATCTACTTCCGTTGTTTGGGAGCGCTGGTTTGCCAGGTTTTCATCTATTTCTAACCAAATTCTCACCTCGATTAATTCTAGCAAAATACTTAATTATTAGGCAGAAGGTCAGGAATTCCACAACGACGGTAGGGCAGGGCTTGGGATAGGGGTAGGGGCAGGGCTTGGGATAGGTGTAGGGGTAGGGGTTGGGATAGGGGTAAGGGTAAAGGTTGGGGTAGGGGTAGGGGTTGGGAAAGGATGGGCAGGAGTAAAGTCTGGGGTAGGGGTAGAGGTAGCAGATCTCTTCTTGTGTTTGTTGAAGATTAGGGGTTGGGATGGGGGAAGGAGGTAGGGTTAGGTCTCTTTCATTGTGTTTATTGAGGGTTAGGTGTAGGTCGTTGGGGTTAGGGTTGGGATAGGGTGGGGGTAGGATTAGGAGCAGGGTTAGTCCTTCCGAATATTAATCCACAGACAGGTAAAAGAGACCAAAACAGCACTTGTACATGGATGACTCTCTCTCTTCTATCCCGTGGTTGGGGCAACCCTTGGGGCACCACTGCATTTGAAAACCAGCTCTCGCCATCTATTTTTGTCCTCTACTCTCCTCAGATTGTCC